CACATAGCTCTCAGACATGACATCTCCACTGCCTCCAGCCTTCTCTTCGCTGCAACATTCATCACCCATGCTTCACACCCATATAAGAGCGTTGGTAAAACTATACTCTCATACATTCCCCTCTTTGCCTCCAAAGACAAGGTTCTTTGTCTCCACAGACTCCTAAGTACACCACTCACCCTTTTTTGTTCTTTAAGTCGTCCCTGTTACAGGCGCTTAGCAGGTATTCCTAGCAACATCACCACACGGGAACACTATGAACTGTTTGGAGGAATGTTCCATGGGGGAGGGGGGGGGATTGTTTAGGATAATTTAAGCCTACAGTCCAAGGTGAAGAACGTCGGAAAATTGAGACCATGCGTAAGCCAGTGTTATATACGGTACATTTCTATTTAAGAAAACAAGAACTGGAGATGCGAACGGCTCTCTAGGTAAAAAGAGCTTGTTTCAAAATTACTACTATTTGAAAGCACCAAAACTTTTCTACAAAAAGCCTGTAACATCGTAAACAAATCAGAACACGGTAAGAAATTTCTAACTTTTTTTACCAGGACAATCAAAACTAACACCTCTTTATGGCCTTCCCAAGACATAAACTTGGAACATTTCTCCAACAGTTCAAAGTGCTGTCGTGTGGCGATGTTGCCAGGGATACCCGCCAGGTGCTTGCTGGAACCAATATCGGATCAAGTGTTTTGAAGGTATAAAAAACTTTTAATGGGAAATTTAAAAACACTATAAATTGTGAGTTTTTAACATTTTTTCAATTTTCTTGTCGTAGCTGTAATAGTTTTAAAATTCTCTACAACCTTGTAAGAAAAAAATTTTTTTAAATTTTTAATATAGTTGATTTTTTATAAAAAAAATCCAATGATTACGAGTGTTAATTCAAAAATCCCCTTATCCGACTGGATGAGAGGCTCTCGAATTATGTGAAAAATAAAACCGAAAAGTAGAAAGAAGAAAAACGAAAAAAAAAGAAATCAAGACCACTTCAAGGTCTCTCTTCTGGGAGAGCTAACAACATTATCTTTACCATGGTCCACTGTTTCAAATGACTTACCGAAGGAGGTCAGTAATTTCTCAGGCAAGAACAGCTTCTGGTATATCCCTGTTGAGACTCATTAATCAAATTATGTTCTTCAACAATTTGCCTACTACTGAGGTCAGGCTTATTTGTCAGTAATTTTATGGGATTGATTTATCTCTTTATTTAAAGACAGGATTTACATTAGCCATCTTCAACGTCTCCGGCGCAATACTATTTTGGAGTGATGTCTTAAAGAGGGCTGTTAGCAGCGAAGTTCTCGCTTGCGTTCTTTAAGTACCCTTGAAAACAGTTCGTCGGAGCCCCGGGACTTACTTTGTTTTTAGTTTGTCTACTTGTTTGATAACCATATTCCTCATGACTGTAAGATTACTTAATTTGTTTTCTTCACGACCTGAATAATTATTAGTTATATTATTTAATGTCTTCCTGTGTGAAAACTGAGAGGAAATAATTATTAAAAAGAGAGCACATTTCCTGATCATTATTATCAGTAAACTGTTCAGACCTAGTTCTCAGTGGGCTTATTTTTTTTTTTGCCCTGATCTTTGTCCTATACACTTGAAAGCCCTTTTGGATTTTGATTCACTAGCTACTGTAATTTTATAGTCGCGATTAGTCTTTACAATCTCTTTTTATACTTCTCTTTTAATATGAACACATTGGTTAATAAGGTTATCCTCTTCCTTTTGATGTACATAAATTCTTCTCTTCTCCCTAATTCATGCTTCGTTCTCCTATTCACTCATTTCGAATCGTTTATATTTTACCAAATTTCTCTCTGGGGAATATATATTCTTTAGACATTTGTACATTATTAAGAAAAAACCATGTTTGTAGAGCTTATCGTTATTGTAAGAATGATCGTCAATAGAATCATGAGTCAGATAACCCCAGTTAAGACTAGACAGGCGTTCCCTAACTTCATTATAATCGGCAGATCTAATACTGGGAACTTTTACTATATTATCCTTATTCTCTTACTCCCAAGTAATATTAGAGGTAATAGATATGTGATCATGTGCAGCAAGCTCTTCGGTGATTTCTAGATTCTTTACGAGGGTTTCCTTGGTAGGTAAGACACATAGGCAACAGTTAGGCAACTTTATTCCGAAACGTTTCGCCTACACAGTAGGCTTCTTCAGTCGAATACAGAAAGTAGGCAGGAACAGTAGAGATGTGAAGACGATGTAATCAGCATGGACACGGGGGTCGTCCCACAGTTACTAAAAACAACAAACATAGCCCCACTCCACAAAGGGGGCAGTAAAGCAACAGCAAAGAACTACAGACCAATAGCACTAACATCCCATATCATAAAAATCTTTGAAAGGGTCCTAAGAAGCAAGATCACCACCCATCTAGAAACCCATCAGTTACACAACCCAGGGCAACATGGGTTTAGAACAGGTCGCTCCTGTCTGTCTCAACTATTGGATCACTACGACAAGGTCCTAAATGCACTAGAAGATAAAAAGAATGCAGATGTAATATATACAGACTTTGCAAAAGCCTTCGACAAGTGTGACCATGGCGTAATAGCGCACAAAATGCGTGCTAAAGGAATAACAGGAAAAGTCGGTCGATGGATCTATAATTTCCTCACTAACAGAACACAGAGAGTAGTCGTCAACAGAGTAAAGTCCGAGGCAGCTACGGTGAAAAGCTCTGTTCCACAAGGCACAGTACTCGCTCCCATCTTGTTCCTCATCCTCATATCCGACATAGACAAGGATGTCAGCCACAGCACCGTCTTCCTTTGCAGATGACACCCGAATCTGCATGACAGTGTCTTCCATTGCAGACACTGCAAGGCTCCAGGCGGACATCAACCAAATCTTTCAGTGGGCTGCAGAAAACAATATGAAGTTCAACGATGAGAAATTTCAATTACTCAGATATGGTAAACACGAGGAAATTAAATCTTCATCAGAGTACAAAACAAATTCTGGCCACAAAATAGAGCGAAACACCAACGTCAAAGACCTGGGAGTGATCATGTCGGAGGATCTCACCTTCAAGGACCATAACATTATATCAATCGCATCTGCTAGAAAAATGACAGGATGGATAATGAGAACCTTCAAAACTAGGGAGGCCAAGCCCATGATGACACTCTTCAGGTCACTTGTTCTATCTAGGCTGGAATATTGCTGCACACTAACAGCACCTTTCAAGGCAGGTGAAATTGCTGACCTAGAAAATGTACAGAGAACCTTCACGGCGCGCATAACGGAGATAAAACACCTCAATTACTGGGAGCGCTTGAGGTTCCTGAACCTGTATTCCCTGGAACGCAGGCGGGAGAGATACATGATTATATACACCTGGAAAATCCTAGAGGGACTAGTACCGAACTTGCACACGAAAATCACTCACTACGAAAGCAAAAGACTTGGCAGACGATGCAACATCCCCCCAATGAAAAGCAGGGGTGTCACTAGCACGTTAAGAGACCATACAATAAGTGTCAGGGGCTCGAGACTGTTCAACTGCCTCCCAGCATACATAAGGGGGATTACCAACAGACCCCTGGCAGTCTTCAAGCTGGCACTGGACAAGCACCTAAAGTCGGTTCCTGACCAGCCGGGCTGTAGCTCGTACGTTGGTTTGCGTGCAGCCATCAGCAACAGCCTGGTTGATCAGGCTCTGATCCACCAGGAGGCCTGGTCACAGACCGGGCCGCGGGGGCGTTGACCCCCGGAACTCTCTCCAGGTAAACTCCAGGTAACTCCAGTCCATCACCCTTGAAGTCGTAGAATTTGAGGTTGTCAGTCCCTCAACCTGGAGAAGTTCAGTTCCACAGTCAGGAACTATCTGAAGATCAAGCGACAGTGCGGAGACTTAAATACTGTCGGAAGGAGAGGTGCAGAGTAGTAGTAGTAGTGAGAATGTAGCCACTGAGAGGTCATGTTCCCCGCAGATCCAACAATTCTCACTTGAAAAGTTTGTCCAAGGTGTTTTCTGTACCAAGATGCCATGTGTTGCAGTGTCTGACAAGATGAACATCAAAATGGTATACAATGCCGACAGGTTGGTAGGTAAGACACATAGGCAACAGTTAGGCAACTTTATTCAAATAAAGTTGCCTAACTGTTGCCTATGTGTCTTACCTACCAACCTGTCGGTATTGTATACCATTTTGAGGGTTTCCTTGTTTGACAAAACCAGATCGAGCACATTGTTACGTCTGATAAGTTCTCTAACAAAATCCTTCAAAAAGCAGTCCTGAACTACGTCCAGGAAGTCAGGAAATCAGTGGACTCCAAACTACCGGTCAAAGAAGTTCAGTCAGTCTGATTAAAATTCAAATTCCCTACCTACTGCGTTCTCATGTCTAGAAGCCTTAACAATTTAGTCCCAAAGAATCCTCTCTTTGTCGCTTACATTGCACATAAATCAATTGTCATGTCCTAGAAATGCTACCCAGACAGATTTTCTCTATTCATTTGATTTTTACATCTGTTTTATTCAACAATTCATGTTTTTTCGGATATACCGCGGTACCCCTCCCCCCCATACCTCCACCTTCCCGTTGTTTGTATCTACATGAAGCAACTTAAACCCTTGAATGTGACACTAAACAACTGTATCCCGACTCTTCAAATTAAACAAAGTCTCAGTTACTGAAATAAGATCAATGTTTCCCACACAACCAGACGTTATTCGTTTGTCGTATCTGTAGCACTTCGACTATTTGCGTACAATATGTTAAGATGATTTTCCATCTATATCTATCACCTCTTTATCTCCATCTTTCCACGTTTTCTGCTGTCACTATCTTTACTTACCATTAACATGATGAATTTTATTCCTAAAATTCATGACATCACAATTTTGATAATTTATACAGCCCAAAACTCTAGTTGCAAAATACGTACATATTTGCCCCACAATAACATGTATCTTTATTATTAATGTTATGTAACTGTTGCTTCTCTTGCCCCGGCAGGAGAGGTGACACAGGGTCACAACGAGGTGGTGGTGCTGGAGGGTCAGGAGGCTGACCTACCCTGTGTCACCACACCCACACAGGGTAATGCAAAGTTCCCCCGCAGCCGCTACACGTCCACCCACGCCCACACGCCCGACCACCACCACCAGCGACCCCAACTGATCCTTTGGTACAGGGATGGTATCAGATCCACCATATACAGGTGAGAGAGAGAGAGAGAGAGAGAGAGAGAGAGAGAGAGGAGAGAGGAGAGAGAGAGAGAGAGAGAGAGAGAGAGAGGAGAGAGAGAGAGAGAGAGAGAGTGAGAGAGAGAGAGAGAGAGAGAGAGAGAGAGAGAGAGAGGAGAGAGAGAAGAGAGAGAGAGGAGAGAGAGAGAGAGAGAGAGAGAGAGAGAGAGAGAGAGAGAATTTTGTAAGAAATAAATGAGAAACCATTTTTTGATCACCATCACAACCACCATCATCACCATAACCATCACCACAACCACCATTATAACCATCACCACAACCACCATTATAACCATCACAACCACCATTATAACCATCCCCACAAACACCATTACAACCATCACCTCAACCATCACCGTGCTCCCCTACGCCCACAGCTACGATGGGCGTGATCCAGGACGTGAACGCCACTGGTCTGAACGCCGAAGCCTGGGCGGGGCGCTAGAACTAACACTGCCGCCCACACCACACTCACGCCCACAGCTGGCCTTCCTGAGAATAAGCCGCGTCCACCAGTCTGACGAGGGGCTGTACAGGTGCCGCGTCGACTTCTACCGCGCCCCCTCCAGGAACACCAACACCAAGCTGGTCATCGTGGGTGAGTCGTTCACTCGCTCTGACGAAACAGCTATTGAATGAATGATAGTGAAATATGTTTCCTTTTTTTTTGGAGGTGGTCACCATACCATACAACAACACAATGGTGTCTTGGTACAGAGATATCCTACAACCGTTGACGGCTTTGAGGGGACTTGAGCTAGAGTTCGTCACGGCCACGCTAGCTGGAGATTCGTCTGTAAAAACTTGCATTTGTGGTCACAGTGGTGCCTGTGCTAACCTTCCTATGATGTAGAAATATACCTAGTTGGACGAATCTTATTGAAGCTAACTGGTCCAGTGGCTAACGCGACGGACTGGAGTTTTGAGACTCTCTGACCGCGGGTTCAAACCCAACCCGTGGTATGGTTTCCTCTGACCCAACACTTGCTATGACCTACTGCCACCAGTGGGTCCCCGACCACCTGTGACTATCACTTCAACTGCTACACTTCATTTGACTCCAGTATATGTGTTCGAACTAGGCACAAAATACCCTAATTTAATGTTTCAATACTCATTTAAAATGGCCGATTTCTTTTTAAACACACACATTATATATATATATATATATATATATATATATATATATATATATATATATATATATATATATATATATATATATATATATATATAAGATAAGATTTCGTTCGGATTTTTAACCCCGGAGGGTTAGCCACCCAGGATAACCCAAGAAAGTCAGTGCGTCATCGAGGACTGTCTGACTTATTTCCATTGGGGTCCTCAATCTTGTCCCCAGGATGCGACCCACACCAGTCGACTAATACCCAGGTACCTATTTGCTGCAAGGTGAACAGGACAACAGGTGTAAGGAAACGTGTCGAAATATTTCCACCCGCCAGGAATCGAACCCGGGCCCTCCGTGTGTGAAGCGGGAGCTTTAGCTACCAGGCCACCGGGCTCGCTCTCTGTCTCTCTCTCTCTCTCTCTCTCTCTCTCTCTATATATATATATATATATATATATATATATATATATTATATATATATAATATATATATATATTATATATATATATATATATATATATATATATATAACAAGTCGGCCGTCTCCCATCGAGGCAGGGTTACCCAAAAAGAAAGAAAATCCCCAAAAAGAAAATACTTTCATCATTCAACACTTTCACATCACTCACACATTATCACTGTTTTTGCAGAGGTGCTCAGAATACAACAGTTCAGAAGCATACACATATAAAGATACACAATATATCCCTGCAAACTACCAATATCCCTAAACCCCTCGTTTAGAGTGCAGGCATTGTACTTCCCAATCAAGGATCACGCCTGTAACAACAAATGTTAGTGTACACACAGCCCTGTTGTTACCAGCAGCTGGGGTGTATACAACACCATTTAACGATTAAAATAAAGTTTATGTAGGGAGAGACAACTAGGGAATTAGACACATGGAAATAAACACAAGCACGCTTAGCGTACTGATGTCCAAAAAACTGTGTTAAACATAGGAACACCTATAACAATTTAATGAATCGGAGTGAAGCAAATTTATCCTAAAATAATAGAATCAGTTTTCAGTATTGACAATAGAGACGTATAGAAGGTTGGGAGTTTTAACATGTCTACAGTGTTAGCCGAAGTGATCTTGGGTCACCAAGACAAGGGTCACCAGGTGAGTTATGTTTGGTGCGCCCCGACTACACTACACTTGGCTTCAATTCCACTATGTATATCCATATTTTCCTCATTATGTATTGGATTGATAAAGCTGCTGTTAGCGAAAAGTGTCGTAATAAACGTTTGCTAAGTGGTCAGGAAGGTGGGTAAGGTTATGTTAGGTGGTGCAGGTGAGCGCTCCCACCTGAAGTAGAAAGCAAGTGTAAAGTAAATGAAGCTCCTGACTTACAAGTTAATCATGTACTTGTACCTACTAGTTAACTTTCAACTTGTTCAGTATTAAGTAGCGTGTCTCTTGCACCTTTCTCCCTCTCTCATACTTGTTTTTTACCTCTCACTACTGTTCTTTACTTCTCCTGTTCTTCCCCTCTTCTGTTCTTTCACTCCTCTACTTTCCCTCTCACTTCTGTTCTTCATGTTCGCCACCTTAGCGTTCTTCCCTTTCTTTATTTTTGTTTCTCGCTGACAGCGCCGCCCAGCACGCCCAGAGTGGAGGTGTGGGCAAGTGGGCGGTGGCTGGAGGCCGCCCCTGGCACCCCGGCCGCCACAGTGGAGGTGGGAACCAGACTCCGTCTTCGTTGCTCCACTACTGCAGGTAAAGTCTCCTTTCTAAGTCATCTACATTATTATTATAATCATTAGTTATTATTATTACTGTTATTATTATTATTATTATTTTTGTTCTGATTATTAATTATATTTATTAACTGGTAAGAAGCATTTATGCAGTGATTTATAAAGCTAACAAGGTGGTGGTTAAAGCCTTGTTATGTTGTGTTACAGGTCGTCCAGCGCCAACCTTGACATGGTGGCGAGGAGGTGAACAGCTACTGGAGGAGAAGACAGAGGTGACGAAGGAGAAGGTGACGGAAGAGGAGGAGGAGGAGGAGGAGGTGGTGGTGAGGAGCACACTGCATGTCAGTGTGAGGCCAGAGGACGCCCACACGCCCGTCGTGTGCCAGGCCTCCAACACACACCTCACGCCCCCGCTCAGGACGCCACTCCACCTACTGGTACTCTGTGAGTCTCTCTCTCGCTCTCTCTCTCATTACCCACTGGTCACAATGGGCACAGTGCCTAGGCCTCTGAAAAAAATGTCTGGAAAAATCTGAGAGCGAATAAATAAAAAAAATAAAAATCACACTTGATACTTTAAATGTATGTATAATGTTGGCCAAGACCGTCGTCCTGGTACGGGTCTCAATCTTGCGATGACCCGTCGATACTTTAAATTATCTATGTCGTATATGTCTTACTGGGACCTACACGATGGTAATAAAATTATAATTACAAGGAAGGTATGTAAAAAGTAACTTTAATTCTGAGGTAAATACTGCAAAGGCTGCATTATGTTACTTTGGTTATTTCATATAATTTAATTAGAATTTTGAACAAGTGTAAAGTTCCCCTTCCTCTTAGCTTGACCTAGAGTCTACCTACCTGTTATCTGCCCTTGTGTCTAATGACTCACACATGGTGTGTCAGCATCACTAACGCTACCTTGTGTCCCACTACAGCATCACCCTCGTGGGTGAGGGTGGTGGGAGCAGACAAAGCTATGTCTGCTGGTGTCAGCTACACGGTGGAGTGTCGCAGTGTTGGTGCCAGGCCTCCACCTGTCCTCAGTTGGTCTGTGGGAGATCACCAACACATACACGCCTCATCTACGGTATGTATCCTCTCCTCTCTCCTCTCTCTCTCTCTCTCTCTCTCTCTATCTCTCTCTCTCTTTATAACTATAATAATGTCGCGTGTCTTCCTATACTTGGTTATTCTAGGTTAATTTCTACATAATTAATATTTTACATAAATTAAAAGTTGAACGTGTACTGAACCTGTATAAAGAAAAGAAAGTAAGAAATCAGAATTACCAGTGTCACAGGCCTACTGGCCTACACTAGGCAGGTCCAACCACTCATGTTTCTCTCCCACCAACTCTTAGAGTTCCAAGGATGCTCTAGTTCTGGTTAGAAGTCTGATAAATACATGAGTGAGACGGGATGGATTTGCGTGGGACTTGCACATGAGTTAATAGTTATCAAAGCTTATTCCTCAGGTAACATTGATAATGGGTTGAGCAAATGTTTGCTAATGGGTTTGGGTTTGAGAAGGACTTGCCAAGTATGAGGCAGTAGGCTTGCTACAGTGTTCCTCCTTTCTTATGATCTTAAAACAACAGTAGTCACCATCTCTCTGAGGCTCTCATCAAACTCTAGTTATTAGTAAACACTTGGCCTGTTCAGTGTGTGTGTGTGTGTGTGTGTGTGTGTGTGTGTGTGTGTGTGTGTGTGTGTGTGTGTGTGTGTGTGTGTGTGTGTGTGTGTGTGTGCGTGTGTGCGCGTGTGTGCGCGCATATAATAATGAGATGCATACATGTGCGTTTATCTCTGATGGCAGACCAATGCTGCGGGGGAGACAGTAAGCCGCCTGGTGTACAAACCTGAGGCCGCCCATGCTGGTTCCCACATCACATGCACCGCACGCCCACCTGATCACGCCCGCCACGCCCTCTCTTCACAACCCACTCCCACCATGTGGGTCAAGAGTGACTCTGTGCCTCTCAACATAATGTGTAAGTATGAGAGAGAAAGAGAGAGAGAGGGAGCAACAACATCCATATATCAACACTGCAACACTCGTCAAGGAACATTCTTCTCACTCGTTCCCACACCTCGTGAACCTCGTGCTTACACTCACACTTATCATTCATATCCCGTCACGAGTGATGAGTTTGTTGAACAGTGCTACTCATCCTGAGTGAATACACTACAATAATGACAGTACCAGACAGTGTCACTCATCCTGAGTGAATACACTACAGTAATGACAGTACCAGACAGTGTCACTCATCCTGAGTGAATACACTACAATAATGACAGTACCAGACAGTGCCACTCATCCTGAGTGAACACTACTATAATAACAGTACTGGTCAGTGCCATTCATCCTAAGTGAATGCACTACTATAATGACAGTACTGGACAGTGCCACTCATCATGAGGGAACATACCAAAAACTTCTTGAAAGTTTTTAACCTCATAAGAGCATTCGCAGATATAATAATAATAATAATAATAATAATAATAATATACTACTAATAATAATAATAATCTTTATTTCTACAAGTACATGATACAGCTTATACAGACCATAGCTGACATCAATGACATACTTTTTAGAATGCCCCTGATTATGGCAGGAGGATTTTGGCAAATTATGGTAATGCATTGTCCTCGATGCGACCCACACCAGTCGGCAAATTTCACCCACGTACCTACTTACTGCTAGATGAACATGAACAGAGTGTAAGTATGCACGCCCAAGTTTCCACGTGTTATTACGTAAAAGCATTTGCACTATACAGCCTAAACTGATACATCGTATCAATAAGATGCATCAGCTATTAGACACTGCTGACAGTCACAACATGTACATGTAAATAAGACAATATGGAATCTATGGCAATTACTGATAAGACGTTTTCTCCAGAACTCGATTACATTTTGTCACCGAAGTGGCTAGTTTATTGTGCACCCTCATCCATCCTATGGATGGTAGTGGCTAGTTTATTGTGCACCCTCATCCATCCTGTGGATGGTAGTGGCTAGTTTACTGTGCACCCTCATCCATCCTGTGGATGGTAGTGGCTAGTTTATTGTGCACCCTTATACATCCTGTGGATGGTAGTGGCTAGTTTATTGTGCACCCTCATCCATCCTGTGCATGGTAGTGGCTAGTTTATTGTGCACCCTTATCCATCCTGTGGATGGTAGTGGCTAGTTTACTGTGCACCCTCATCCATCCTGTGGATGGTAGTGGCTAGTTTATTGTGCACCCTCATCCATCCTGTGGATGGTAGTGGCTAGTTTATTGTGCACCCTTATCCATCCTGTGGATGGTAGTGGCTAGTTTACTGTGCACCCTCATCCATCCTGTGGAGGGCAGCGCAAGAGCACATGGATACACAAAAGATCTAGGAACATGGCCCCAAAAGGGTTTACGGGAATACATCTGTATTTATATCTACAGTTCATTCATCTGTTTCAAGCAAATTTAGGAAATCAAGTTAGCTAACGAAAAACGTACAAGTTTTTTCATAAACCAAGTTAACAATTACACATTCCGATAACAATCCTAATCTAATTCTAAGTTGGATATGCCAGTTTTGAAGGCTTTAAGACGATCCGAAGAAACGGTCTCAGGTTTACGCACTGATTCCGGAAGCCAGCGAGAGTTACGAACTTTTACCCAGTTGCGGTGAAGTTGCCCTCAAAATCTGAAGACCGATCGAGTGAGTCGTTCTCATGTTATAAAGGAAAAACGTTCGAGAGAGAAAAATTAAACTGTCAACCATTTAAATGTGTTCCTGGGAGTGTTCTTCAAGAAGTGTTCTGCAGCATGTCTTTTATTAGCATATCTTCATCTTATAAACAGAACATTATATGCAACACTAAGGTGTCATTTTTGTGGGTCCAGATGTTTCGCCAGCGCAGTAGACTTCTTCGTTCGAATACAGGCGAAACCTATCGAATGGTATTTTATACCATTCTCAATATATCTAAGTGTCTCACATGTCTTACTTATTAAGTAATAGGCATTTTATACTATTCTCAATGTAAGTGTCCCATATGTCTTGCTCATCAACGTGTGGGTATTGTCCTATATCATTATAATGTGAAGTCCTGGTGTTGACAGACAAACCCGAGGTACAACTGGATGCACAGCGAGTCAGAGCTTCTCCTGGTGCAAGTAATACCACCACCACCAAGCTATCACCACCCCCTCCCTTCTCCCCTTCCCTTCACAACAACAACAACAACAACAACCTCCTGCCCGCCCAGGTCCACACCTCTAAGGTCGCCGTCGTCAAGAAGCGCAACGACGGCACCAAGACCCGGGGTGATGGGGGCGACAAAGTAAAGGCTGGGAAGGTGGACGACGATGTCAGTCTGATGGAAGGGGAGGGTGCCGTGCTACAGTGCCATGTGAGGGCCAACCCGCCCGCATACCACGTCAGTTGGAGCAGAGATGTGAGTGCCACCCCTATTTTTTTGTGTTCGAGGCTGGGAAGGACGGGGAGACAGCGGCAACTGTAGTATGAAGAACTTTACTATATATGGCGCTGTAGTATGGAATACTTTACTACTACTACTACTACCACCACTACTATCATTACTGCTACTGCTAATAATAATAATTCCACTACTACTACCATTATCACTACTACTACTATTATTACTACTAATAATAATAATTCCATTGCTACTACTGCTGCTACGACTACTACTGCTGCTACGACTACTACTACTGCTAGTATCTCTACTACTAATGCTACGTACACTACTACTAATAATAATAATATTAATAAAAATAATCTTTAAAAAATAAAAGTTACAATTTTATTATAAACAGTAGTAGAGATCTGTACAATGTTTGAGAGGTCACAGAGATACTTCAGGCACAATTCTTTTACTGTACAATATGTACACAGTAGATGTACACTAAGAGGTGTACATCTCTCAACATACTCCATACTGAGAGTTACCTTAATCCTTATTATAGGTATTAAAAGCATTCGTGTCTGCTGGAGAAAAGCTTATATGCAGCATCAACGACCCTGGTGTAGTAGAGAGGCTTGAAACCTCATAAACGCACTGAGCAACGAAGTCAAACAGTATACATAGAGTGTTTTGATATACATGTTCGTAGTGAGTACCAATTAAGTATACATGGCTAGATTACTTTAGATTATTTTAGCATTACTGTAGTAGAGATTATTTTAATATTACTGGAGTATTGATTACTTGATTACAGATTACTTTAACATTAATCATGGTAGTAATGAGTGGAGCATTTATACTCACATGAACATAAAAAAGGGAGAACACCAGCGGCTTTTGCCCACTACATTTTAAACCCTTTATTTGCTAGAAAAACAAGTTTTAAAAACACACTTAGGTGTTTAAGAGTAATATTCCTAAGGAATGTGAACTTGCTAGTTTCCAATTTAAATACATCTGTAGAAATTTAAATCGAATGCTTGTTTTTAATATTGTGAACATTTTTATGTAATCACAAAACCCAACCTTTTTCAAACAGTTTAAAATTTCTTCGAAGAGTACATTGGATTATTTTTTACCAGTAATGGGTTGCTTGCAAAACAGTTTCTATTATCCCCGAAAGGGTAGCACAATGTTGTTTACGTCTACTTTATACAAAGAAATCATTTTGTACAGTTATAGTTCCCATTAAAAATAAAAGGGGAACACATTTACATTAAACCTAGGAAATTTTTCATGTACAAAATGGTTTTTGAACTTTTTCAGAGTAGAACAGTGTTAAAAGTGTTTACAGTTTAAACATATGAAAAACTGTGGCCAATTTGGTGAAGGGAATATCATAAAAAATTTGTAGGAGGGGTTTACCAGTGGTAAACAAATTCTCGTTAGGTTAACACTGGGGGTGCCCCAGGTAACCAAAGAAAGTCGTGCGCATCGGGTTTCCCCTACTTAATTTCCAATGGGGCCACACGGGTGTCCCAAAAGGATGCGGACACACCCGGTTTTCGACTTAAACACCCTGGTACCCCTATTGCTCCTAAGTGAACAACAACTTTTGTAAGAAAGTGTGGAAAGTTTCCAAACCCGGGCCCGGGAATCGAAACCCGGGCCCCTCCGTTATTTGTCATTTGGTAAATTTGTCAATATAGAGCTTGGGTTTGCCCCAAGTTTCTGAAGTTAAGGTTTGGTTGTTAGTTTTATGGAGTGTAAAAATTGGGTTTTATTAAATATTTGCAGGCGTTTAGGAACTTTTTAAAGTCTAATTGATTTTCAGACCGGGTTATTTTGTATTTTCTGGTAAAATTCCAATTTGGGGCCCTTTTATGTGCTAGACGTTTGTACACAATGGGGTTTGTGCCACGTGTACTATCATAAGAACATGTGCGACTGGGGTTTTTTTCCCAGTGTACTTTTTTTGGGAAAAAGGGAAATGTGGTGGGCAGTAAATGGGCTTAGAGCCGTGGTTTTCCCAGGTAATTTGTCAGGTGTAGAGCACATGGGGTTTTCCATAAATCAGGAGAAAGGTGCGACATCTTTTCTCCTTACTTTCTCAAACTTTCCCCTCTTTTCCGTCTTCTTCACCTACCCTCTTTTCCCCCTTTCTATCTCCTTCCCCTCTTTTCCCTTTCTAACTTCTGCGAACATACACACACTCTGGTTCCCACAGTGTAAAACTCAACAAAACATCCCACACCCTTCCCAAGTGTCTTCTGCACCCTTACACTGACACCTTTCCCATTAATACATCCGTGTGTGAAGCAGACAACTATGGTTTTCGTAAACTCATATAGAAAGTGTAACAGCACACTCTGGTGTTCCCACAGGTAACTATCATGTAGAACAGTTGTAGCAGCACATTTGCTGTGTTCCCAAGGTGTAACTATCATACAGAATAGTGTACCCAGCACACTCGGTGTTCCCACGTGAAACTACATACGAAAGTGTAGCAGCACATGTGGTTGTTCCCACTGTGTAACTTTCTCAGAAATGTAGAGCACATGCGGGTTTTCCCCAAGGGTTGTAACTATCATACAGAACAGTGTAGCAGCACACTGCCGGTTTTTCCCGTGTAACTATAAACCAAAAACAGTGTAGCAGCACACCGGGGGTGTTCCCACTGTGAACTATATTACGGGACAGTGAGCAGACATGCGGGGTTTCCCCAAGTGTAACCTATCATACAGAACGTGTAGCAAGCACATTGCTGGTTTCCCCAGTGTAACTATTACAGAACATTTGTAGCACACACTGTTGGTATTCCCACAGTGTAACTATTATAAGAACAGTGTAGGGGAACTGCTGGTGTTTCCCACATTTTAACTTTTTATAAAAACAGTGTAGCACACCCCGCTGGTTTTCCCCAAAGTTAATTTATCCCCAGAACAGTGGTAGCACCCACTGCTGGGTTCCCACGTGTAACTATCAGCGGGAACAGTGTAGCAGCACACGCTGGCGTTCCCAAGGTTGTAACTATCATCAGAACAGTGTAGCAGCACACCGCGGGGTTTTCCCCAGTGTAACTATTCATATAGAACAGTGTAGGCAGCCCCCACGCTGGTTTTCCCAGTGTAACTATCATAAAAACAGTGTAGCAGCACACTGCTGGTGTTCCCAGTGTAACTATCATCAGAACATTTGTAGCAGACACGCTGGGTTCCCACAGTGTAACTATCATAAGAAAGTGTAGCAGCACACCGCTGGTGTTCCCACAGTGTAACTATCATACGAAAGGTAGCAGCACACTGCTGGTGTCCCACTTGAAAACTATCATAAAGAACAGTGAACAGCACACTGCTGGTGTTCCCAGTGTAACAACACGGGAACAGTGTAGCAGCCCCACGCTGGCTTTCCCCACAGTGAAAACTATCATAAGAACAGTGTAGCAGCACCCGCTGGTTTTCCCCACGTGTACTATCATCAGAACAGTGTAAGCAGCACACGCTGGGTTCCCACAGTGTAACTATCATCAGACATTTGTAGCAGCACATTTCTGGTGTTCCCACAGTGTAACTAGCAACAGAACAGTGTAGCAGCACCACGTGGCGTTCCCACAGTGTAACTATCATACAGAACAGTGTAGCAGCACACCCGGTTTTCCCCACAGTGTAAACTATCATACAGAACAGTGTAGTGCAGCACACTCTGGGTTCCCCAGTGTAAACTACAACAGAACAGGTAGCAGCACCCCGCTGGGTTCCCATGTAACTAAAACCAGAACATTGTAGCAGCACACCGCGGGGTTTTCCCCACAGTGTAACTATCATACGGGAACAGTTGTAGCAACACACCCTGGGTTCCCACAGTGTAACTATCATCAGAACAGTGTAGCAGCACCCCGCTGGTGTTCCCAGTGTAATTTAACCAGAACAGTGTAGCACACACGCTGGGTTCCCACAGTGTAACTATCATACAAAACAGTGTAGCAGCCCCCGGGTGGTGTTCCCAAAAGTGAAACTATCATCAGAACAGTGTAGCAGCACACTGCTGGTTTTTCCCAGTGTAACTATCAATGCGAACAGTGTAGCAGCACACTGCTGGTGTTCCCACAGTTGTAACAAATCATACAAAACAGTGTAGCAGCACAGCTGGTGTTCCCACTGTAACTATCATTCAGAACAGTGTAGCGCACACTGCTGGTGTTTCCCAGGTAACTATCATGCAGAACAGTGTAGCGCACACTGCTGGTGTTCCCACAGTGTAACTATCATACAGAACAGTGTAGCAGCACACTGCTGGTGTTCCCAGTGTAACTATCATATAGAACAGTGTAGCAGCACACTGCTGGTGTTCCCAGTGTAACTATCATATAGAACAGTGTAGCAGCACACTGCTGGTGTTCCCACAGTGTAACTATATTAGAACAGTGTAGCAGCACACTGCTGGTGTTCCAAGTGTAACTATCATCAGAACAGTGTAGCAGCACATTTGCTGGTGTTCCCATTTGTAACTATCATATAGAACAGTGTAGCAGCACACTGCTGGTGTTCCCAGTGTAACTATCATATAGAACAGTGTAGCAGCACACTGCTGGTGTTCCCAGTGTAACTATCATATAGAACAGTGTAGCAGCACACTGCTGGTGTTCCCACAGTGTAACTTCATACAACAGTGTAGCAGCACACTGCTGGTGTTCCCACTGTAACTATCATACAGAACAGTTGTAGCAGCACATGCTGGTGTTCCCACAGTTTTAACTATCATAAGAACAGTGTAGCAGCACACTGCTGGTGTTCCCACAGTGTAACTATCATACAGAACAGTGTAGCAGCACACTGCTGGTGTTCCCACAGTGTAACTATCATACAGAACAGTGTAGCAGCCACTGCGGGTTTGTTCCCACAGTGTAACTATCATCAGAACAGTGTAGCAGCACACTGCTGGTGTTCCCACAGTGTAACTATCATGCAGAACAGTGTAGCAGCACACTGCGGGTGTATCAAAGCGTCTTCAATAACTAAAGTAATAAAAAAAACGCGCAGAGTAAATATTTATCTATAGATATGCAGCTCTAAATAGACCTTTACAAAGCTCTACCTAAGAGCAAAATAAACCTAAGTAAAGCAAAATATCGTGTGAAAACAAGGCTGTACCTGGGGCAAAACCTGGTGTGTCAATTCAACTTGACTCTGCGCATAGTCACATTAGTTAAGTATCTTAATTTTCAAAATGTTTCGCTTGTTCAGCAGTCTTCTTCAGATGAGTGTAGATAAATGGTTCAGAGAACCCAAAAGTTGATAAATAAGACACTTGTGCAACACCTGGGTATCTTTATTGTGGAAACGTTTCGCCAACCAGTGCCTTCAGTCCAATCTTCAACCATTCTTCTTTGTACTTTACTGATGAAGTCACTGTGTGGCGAAACGTTTCCACAATAAAGATACCCAAGTGTTGTATATGTGTCTTGTTCTTTTGTAAACCATTAAACTATTAATATAAACCAATAAAGTCAAATAATATAACTTATCTCCACTGTGTGTGTGTAGGGGTCACCACTCTCGCCCGGGGTGGGTGGTGGGCTGGTGGTGGGCAACATGAGCGTGGTGCTGCCCACCCTGGCAAGGAAGGACGCTGCCACCTACACCTGCACGGCCCACAACGCGGAAGGTTCCTCCCGGAGCAACCCCCTCCACCTGCACGTCATCCGTAAGTCACCTTCCTATACAGTTGCAAAGGCAACTGTATAGTAATATATCACAAATTATAAAGTGATGGATGTAAGCATGAGTTTACTGGCAGGGCTACACCTGCTCTTGTTGTCACCTCCAGCAGGAGTCTACTGGCAGGGCTACACCTGCTCTTGTTGTCACCTCCAGCAGGAGTCTACTGGCAGGGCTACACCTGCTCTTGTTGTCACCTCCAGCAGGAGTCTACTGGCAGGGCCCACACCTGCTCTTGTTGTCACCTCCAGCAGGAGTCTACTGGCAGGGCTACACCTGCTCTTGTTGTCACCTCCAGCAGTCTACTGGCAGGGCTACACCTGCTCTTGTTGTCACCTCCAGCAGGAGTTCCCACTGGCAGGGCTACACCTGCTCTTGTTGTCACCTCCAGCAGTCTACTGGCAGGGCTACACCTGCTCTTGTTGTCACCTCCAGCAGGAGTCTGCTGGCAGGGCTACACCTGCTCTTGTTGTCACCTCCAGCAGGAGTCTACTGGCAGGGCTACACCTGCTCTTGTTGTCACCTCCAGCAGGAGTCTACTGGCAGGGCTACACCTGCTCTTGTTGTCACCTCCAGCAGGAGTCTACTGGCAGGGCTACACCTGCTCTTGTTGTCACCTCCAGCAGGAGTCTACTGGCAGGGGTTTCACCCGCTCTTTTTGTCACCTCCAGCAGGAGTCTCTGGCAGGGCTACACCTGCTCTTGTTGTCACCTCCAGCAGGAGTCTGCTGGCAGGGTTACCTGCTCTTGTTGTCACCTCCAGCAGGGGGCCCCAACCCGGGTTGTTGCACCTCCAGCAGGAGTCTCTGGCAGGGCTCACTGCTCTTGTTGTCACTTCCCGCAGGAGTTACTGGCAGGGGCCTTTTTCACCTCCAGCAGGAGTCTGCTGGCAGGGGTCACCTGCTCTTGTCACCTCCAGCAGGGTCTACTGGCAGGGCTGCACCTGCTCTTGTTGTCACCTCCAGCAAATCTCTGGGAGGGCTACACCTTTCTCTTGTTGTCACCTCCAGAGTCTACTGGAGGGCTCACCTGCTCTTGTTGTCACCCAGCAGGAGTCTTGGCAGGGTGCACTGCTCTTGTTTTCACCTCCAGGGAGGGGTTTACTGGCAGGGCTCACCAGCTCTTGTTGTCACCTCCAGCAGGAGTCTGCTGGCAGGGGGCTCACCTGCTCTTGTTGTCCCTCCAGCAAAGGGGGTCTCTGGCAGGGCTACACCTGCTCTTGTTGTCACCTCCAAGGAGTCTCTGGCAGGGCTACAAACCCGCTCTTGTTGTACCTCCAGCAGTTTTACTGGAGGGCTACACCTGCTCTTGTTGTCACCTCCAGCAGGAGTCTGCTGGCAGGGCTCACCTCTCTTGTTGTCACCTCCAGCAGGAGTCTCTGGCAGGGCTACAACCTGCTCTTGGGTTTTCACCTGCAGCAGTCTACTGGCAGGGCCCCATACAACTGCCCCCTTTTTGTTGTCACCTCCAGCAGGAGTCTGCTGGCAGGGCTGCACCTGCCCCTTGTTGTCACCTCCAGCGTCTACTGGAGGGCCCTGCCTTTTTCCCAGCAGGAGTTGCTGGCAGGGCTCACCTGTCTTGTTGTCCCCCTCCCGCAGGAGTCTCTGGCAGGGCTACACCTGCTCTTGTTGTCACCTCCAGCAGTCTACTGGGAGGGCTACACCTGCTCTTGTTGTCACCTCCAGCAGGAGTCTGCTGGCAGGGCTGCACCTGCTCTTGTTGTCACCTCCAGCAGGAGTCTACTGGCAGGGCTGCGCCTCTCCAGCAGGAGTCTGCTGGCAGGGCTACACCTGCTCTTGTTGTCACCTCCAGCAGGAGTCTGCTGGCAGGGCTACACCTGCTCTTGTTGTCACCTCCAGCAGTCTACTGGCAGGCCTACACCTGCTCTTGTTGTCACCTCCAGCAGGGAAAGTTTTCTGGCAGGGGCTTTTCACCTGCTCTTGTTGCACCTCCAGCAGGAGTCTCTGGCAGGGTACACCTGCTCTTGTTGTCACCTCCAGCAGGAGTCTGCTGGCAGGGCTACACCTGCTCTTGTTGTCACCTCCAGCAGTCTACTGGGAGGGCTACACCTGCTCTTGTTGTCACCTCCAGCAGGAGTCTGCTGGCAGGGCTGCACCTGCTCTTGTTGTCACCTCCAGCAGGGTTACTGGCGGCCAGGCTTTTTCACCTCCAGCAGGAGTCTTCTGGCAGGGCTCACCTGCTCTTGTTGTCACTTCCAGCAGGAGCTACTGGCGGGCTCACCTGCTCTTGTTGTCACCTCCAGCAGAGTTTTGGCGGGTGCACCTGTCTTGTTGTCACCCAGCAGGAGTCTCTGGCAGGGCTCACCCGCTCTTGTTGTCACCTCCAGCAGGAGGGCTGCTGGCAGGGCTAAACCTGCTTGTTGTCACCTCCACAGTCTACTTTGGGGGTACACCTGCTCTTTTGTCACCTCCAGCAGGAGTCTGTTTGGGGAGGCTCACCTGCTCTTGTTGTCACCTCCACAGGAGTCTCTGGCTGGGCTACACCTGCTCTTGTTGTCACCTCCAGCAGGTTTTCTGGAGGGCTCACCCCGCTCTTGTTGTCACCTCCAGCAGGAGTCTACTGGCAGGGCTCACCTGCTCTTTTGTCACCTCCAGCAGGAGTCTACTGGCAGGGCTACACCCGCTCTTGTTTTTCACCTCCAAACAGGTGTCTACTGGCAGGGCTACACCTGCTCTTGTTGTCACCTCCCGCAGGAGTCTCTGGCAGGGCTACACACTGTCTTGTTGTCACCTCCAGCAGGGGTCTCTGGCAGGGCTACACCTGCTCTTGTTGTCACCTCCCGCAAGGGGCTCTGGCGGCTACACCTGCTCTTGTTGTCACCTCCAGCAGGAGTCTGTTTGGGAGGGCTTCACCTGTCTTGTTGTCACCTCCAGCAGGTTCTACTGGCAGGGCCCTGCATCTCCCAGCAGGAGTCTGCTGGCCCGGGCTCACCTGCTCTTGTTGTCACCTCCAGCAGGAGTCTCTGGCAGGGCTGCACCTGCTCTTGTTGCCCTCCAGCTAGTTACTGGGAGGGCTCACCTGCTCTTGTTGTCCTCCAGCAGGAGTCTAGTGGCAGGGCTCACCTGCTCTTGTTGTCCCTCCCGCAGGAGTCTCTGGCGGGCTGCCCTCCGCAGGAGTCTGTGGCGGGTTTCAACTACTCTGTGTCACCTCCACAGGAGTCTGCTGGCAGGGCTCACCTGCTCTTGTTTTTCACCTCCAGCAAATTTTACTGGGAGGGGGAACCTGCTCTTGTTGTCACCTCCAGCAGGGGTCTCTGGCAGGGCTGCACCTGCTCTTGTTGTCACCTCCAGCAGGAGTTACTGGCAGGGTGCACCTGTCTTGTTGTCACCTCCAGCAGAGTTTACTGGCAGGGCTCTGGCACCTGACCCCTTGTTGTCACCTCCCGCAGGAGTCTCTGGCAGGGATGCCTTTTTACCTCCCGCAGAGTCTGCTGGCAGGGCTGCCCCCTGCTCTTGTTGTCACCTCAGCAGGAGTCTCTGGCAGGGCTACACCTGCTCTTGTTGTCACCTCCAAAGGAGTCTCTGGCAGGGCTACACCTGCTTTGTTGTCACCTCCAGCAGGTCTACTGGAGGGCTCACCTGCTCTTGTTGTCACCCCCAGCAGGATGTTCTGGCAGGGCTGCACCTGCTCTTGTTGTCACCTCCCGGGGTTAAAGCATTGCAAACCTGTTTGTTGTAATAAAAATTCAATATGGACAGGGCTAAACCCGTTTCGTTTTCATTCCCGCAGGAATCACTAAGGGTACCCGCTTTGTTTATCTAGTTAAGTATCAAACCAGGTTTTGAAAAAATTAACAAAATATGCTCTTAGAAAGGGCAATTGTTTGATTGGAAAGGGAAATTAATGTACAACTATGGTTTATCCTTTGGAAATTATTCTATTCAAAAATTATAAGGACGGTTCCTGAAAAAAATGTAAATTTAACCTGTTTGGGAGCAAAAATAATATTAGAGAAAGAGGAATTAATGTACAGTTCTAATCCCCTCAATTTGAATTTAAAACCTTAGACAGTTGATAAAGTTAGTCATACCCGGGAAAAAAAATGTAGTACTTTTGTGCTGTTGTTGCTAAAAATAATATTAGGAGATTAAATATGAAGAGATCCTAGGAAGCCCGTTCAGGCTTGGAGATCTATCATACATGATAACATGAAGTAGTACGTTAAGGAGAAAAATCCTCCTTGGTACATGACACCAGTTTAGTACCCCTTAGGTTGGTTTCAAGCTGACTGTTTTGTGAGCAGGATTAGGTTGGGTTCCAAATATGAACGATGTTGTAGTAGCCGGCTTAGGTGGTTACGTATTCTGGGGCAGACACAGTGATGTCAAAATTTAATGCAATTGGTGCCTGGCCTTATGGTACTGTTGAACTTTTGCTTAACTGTCACCTTTTTGTATGTTTTGAATTGTTAGCCATGGTATGTGTATTGATAAACTGTTGTAGAGGAATTGATTGGTTGAATTGTGTGCCCATGGTATTGTGTTTCGAATGTTTGTGCACCAGGTTGTGGAGGGGTGGTGATGTGGACATAGCGGTGTTAGGATGGTAGTGGTTGTGGTAGGTGACAGTGGTATAGTGGTGGGCGGGTGGTGATGTGAGGTTAGTGATGATAAATGGATTGTGGTGATGAGGGGTAGTGGCCAGAACAGAGGAGTGGGAGTAGGTGGTTGTTTGGGGTAGTGATAGGACGGGTAGTGGTGGTGGGAGGGATATGTGGGAGGTGGTGGGTGTTATGGAAATGAGATTGTTGATGCGAGGGGTTGTGACACAGATCACCTCTGTGGAGGGGAGTGGAGGTAGTGGTGTGAGAGACTAACGACAGATCAAGACAGTGATGCAGGTGTTGTGGTGGGGGAGGACAGTGTGGCGGGAGAAGAGGGTGGGGTGAGGAACTAGAGAGGGTGTGGTGGGAGAAGAGGGTGGGGTGAGGAACTAGAGAGGGTGTGGTGGGAGAAGAGGGTGGGGTGAGGAACTAGAGTGTGGTGGGAGAAGAGTGTATGGTGGAGAGGTGTGGTTGGGGAGGAGTGTGTGGTGTTGGGGCTGTGGTGGGGAAAGAGTATGTGGTGGAGATGTGTGGTGGGGATGTGTGGAAGGTGTGGTGAGGAGTTGTGGTGGGTGTGGAGTGGAAGGAATGTCTGATGGAGAAGCAGTGTGGTAGGGAGGTGTGGTGAAGGAGTGTGTGGTGGGGAGGAGAGTGTGGTGGGGGAGGAGAGGGAGTGTGGTTGGGAAGAGTGTGTGGTGGGGGAGGAGAGAAAGGGACTGTGGTGGGGAGGAGTGTGTGGTGGGGAGGAGAGACAAGGACTATGGTGGGGGAGGAGTGTGTGGTGGGGGAGGAGAGGGAGTGCGGTCGACAAAGTAGACTTCTGCTCCTCCAGCAGGTAGTTGCAGTCGTGTCGACAAGCAGCCTCAAGTCTACCCTGAGTGTTCAGAGGCTCAACACCGGATCAAGGACTGATCAACTAGACTGTTATTGCTGGCCACACGCTTGTCAGGAACTGACTTTAGGAACTTATTCGCTTTCCTCTCAAAGATAGCAAGGATCTATTGGAAGGTTGTTGAATAGTCTTGGGCACCTTACACTTATTGTGTTGTCACTCAGTGTACTCACGGCACCCCTGCTTTTCACTGAGGAATTTGGTACTGTCTGCCAAGCCTTTTTTTTTTTTTGTAGGGAGTGATTCATCTGGGGACTAATCCATCTACGATTTTCCGGGTGTGAATTACGATGCATCTTTTTCGCCTTCATTTCAGGGAGTACAGGTCAAGGAACTTAAGACCTTCCCAGTAATTAAGGTGCCTGACTGAACTTATACATGCAGTGAAGGGTCTCTCTACATTCTCTAGATCTGCAGCTGTGTCTGCGTTAAAAGGGGATGTTAACACACAGCAGTACTTAAGTCTACAAAGAGCAAATGACCTACAGAGGATCATCACTGGTTTGTAATCCCGTGTTTTGAAGGTTCTTGTTATCCATTCTATCATTCTCCTTCTTGCTGCGATAATGACATTGTTGTGATCCTTCACGTTAGTTTTTCACTCTACCGAGTTGTCTGAATTTGTTTTATACTTCCTTATAGCTTTATTCCCTCAAAATTTCCAAAACGGAGGAAATGAAATTTGTCCTCATTTTTTGGGGGGCCCAATGGAAAACTTGGTTTATATCCGCTTGGAGATTGGCTGTGTCTTCAATTGATGTCACTCTTGCAAATTATAGTGTCGTCTGAAATGGATGATGCGAGGGTATGATTTATGTCTCTGTCTATTTCAGATATGACAGACATTATGATCGCACTTGCCGAAGGCTTTTTCAAAAGTCTGTGTACTCTACATCTACATTTTGTTGGTTTTCCAGTGCGTCCAAGACCATGTCAGTGGTTCAGTAGTTGCGAGAAGCGGGAGCGACCTACTCTAAAAACATGATGCCCTGGGTTGTGCACTTGTTGGGAAGTTAGCGATCTTGATTTTTAAAAGCCTTTCAAATAATTTTATGTGGAACGTTAGTGGTATCGGTCTATAGTTTTTCGCAACTGCTTTGCTGCCGTCTTGGTGAAGCGGTGATATATCCGTTGTTTTTGATGACTTTGGGATGACCCTCGTGTATAGGCTCCCTCGCCAGAAAATAAGGCACGTGGTGAGGGTTCCTTGCAGTGGGTGGATGTTTGGGACGGGTCTAAGTGGATGTTTGTGGGTGGACTCTTGAAAGGGATGTGGGTGGACGCTTGAGACGGGTGTGGGTAGACGCTTGGGACGGTTGTGGGTGGCGCTTGGGATGGGTGTTAGTTGAATAAGTCACTCTCAACTCTCACAAACACTTCTCCTACAGACGGTGCTGAGTGTATGCGTGGCACCGTGCAAGTGTTGGGAGTGCCACGCCATCATGCCCTCAACGTCACCTGCCAGGTGACTGCCTACCCCTTGCCCACAGCCTTCTCGTGGGCACTCAAGTCTTCCCGGGGCCTCCTGCAGGTGCCAGAGGAGATGATCAACTTCGAGGGCGTCGTCTCCTGGATTTCGTACACACCGCGGGCCGCTGTGGATTACGGGGAGCTACTGTGCTGGGCTCACACTGCCCTAGGACGTCAGCGGGAGCCCTGTGTGGCCCGTCTGGTAGCAGCAGACAAACCTGACCCTCCTGAGAGATGTGCTGTATCCAGGGCCACACCTCACACCCTCACAGTGTTGTGCACAGCAGCACACGACGGGGGTCTCCCGCAGACCTTCCTCATGACGGTATGTTGATGAACGATCACACATTGTACACAAGTACGGTGCGAAATGTGTTATTCGCTGGCTTTAACGACAACTATCTGCATGTAAACTTGAATGCTATACGAACACTCACTATGTCTCCCCCAGGAGATGACAACCACTAAATATAGACACTTAACACGGATAAATTCCTATACTTTTCTCCTTCATTACATGACCAAGTGTGACGAGTGTCGACGTGTGCGCTTCTTTCAAATTATTATTATTATTATTATTATTTATTATTATTATTATTATTATTATTATTATTATATTCAAAACAAGTGCCAATCTTGTACGTTTCATACAACACCACAACGAACAGCAAATATATATACGTTTAAAGATATATTTTTTCATTAATGTTAATGTAAAAATTTTTAATTTTGCTCCAAAAGAATCTTAGAAAACTTACCTAACCTTATTATAACAAGAACAATTTATTTTAGCCTAACCCAACTAAATATATTTTAGATTTGTTTACAATAATTTATTACTAAACAAACACAGTGAAATATATTTTTTTCGTTAGGTTCAGAATGATTTTGGCAAAATTATTGCATACACAAATTTTCGCTTGTCCTATATGGCAAAATGAGCGTTGCTATTTAAGCCAAGATAGCAAGTTCTGCCACCTTCATATCAACAATGTATCTCTTAAATCTTCTGTACCATATTATGTAATAAAATATTCCTATTGGTAAAAAAAAATATATGAAAAGATGGGGTGGTAGGGAAGTGGAATATTCAAACGGCTTCAGGAAGAAATCCAAATATTCTTCCTTGAAGCCTTTTTATCCACTTCTCCGAGGCTATGGGTCCCACAATTTACACCAGAGGTGGACCCCATCTTATAAATTATATAATCATATATATATATATATATATATATATATATATATATATATATATATATATATATATATTATATATTACAATTATATATATATATAATGTGAAGCTCATGTGGAAGGAGAGCGCTGATGTAGGAAAACGAGGGCAAGAACGGGTGTATGAGGTTCTGCACTTGCTGTCTAGTATTGAGGAAAGATGTGCGACTGATTACGACGTCCTTAAATGATGCACCGTATATTATCCGCACAGGTGTCCCTCTCGGGAAAAGAGGTGACCAACAGCACCAGTGTGACCTCTGAGATAACAGCTTACGACTTAGAGCCCGACACCCGTTACCGCCTCACCCTCTGGTCAGCCAACACCCACGGCAACAGCAGGAGAACCACTCTGCATGGTTCTACTGCCCCCTCCAACACCTCCACCAGCAGCAGCATGAATGGCCACGCCTCCAACACCACGAAGGGCCCCCTGGCCATGCTGTGGCCGTCCCTGGTAGCTGTGGTAGTGGTGGTGACGGTGTTGGGGGTGGTGATGGGTGTAGTGTTGGGGGTTCTCACACAAAGAATCTCAGTACCACACAGGTTCTCCCAAGAGACGGAAGATGAGGAGGAGCCACAAGCCCCAAGTCACTCCCGAGTAAACATGGGTCGCTTAGGTGAGTCACACAGGTAGGAAACAGAAGGTACATACAGTATATAGTGCATAAGTGCATATATATTTAATGCAGGATAACTAGTGATGAAACCACCAGTGAAAAGATGATACTTTTGATTGTGTTTCCAGTGTGGATATCCTACATATCAGATACAACTTACTACTGAGATTCTTTAGCACATATACTTAAAACATATAAATGGAAGAGTGAAACAGTCCAGATTAACCTGAATATGTATTCATACCTAATATGTATGTACTCATAAGTAAAACAGTTTGAATCAACCTAATGTGTTTGTTTTCCTGAGTGAAACATCGCAGTCCACGATGTAACCTGAAATTAACAACACAGCATATTTTTGCCCACTTGACTTATTTTTTCCAGGCAAGGGAAACCACGTTTTCATAGAAGATCTCGGGAGACCACCAGCACGTTATGATATCATAACAACTGTCCCTTCTAAGGAGGACTCCCATATTTATGACGACCCTATCGCTCTGAGGAGAGGACGAGCACAAGAAAAACCCGTAGCAGATATTAAAGTTGCCCCTGACGTGGAGTATCCCAGGTTTTCTTTCACGGCCAGTGACTGGAACAGCCAGTCGCAGTCCCTCTCGTGGCACCTGGCAAACTCCCGTCTTCTGCGCAATAAAATTGACTTTAGAGTTCCTAGTAAAGAAGTTCCACGGAAACCAGTGAGAGTCGAGCCACCCAAACTTCCAACTTTAAACGTTTGTAAATCCATCACCCCTAGAACAAGGGTAAAAACCATGCCTGCCCTTGAATTTCGTCTAATTTTAATCCCTGAAACTAGCAAAATGCTTCAATTTGCCGTAGAAAGAGACACTCGGTTGATATCATATTTATCCAAAGATACAAGCATATCCAGCTCTACTTCCAAGTTCCCGACTATAACTGAGGAAGAAGAATCTAAACCTCTGAATATCAGAGAAGATTCACATGCACACAGCAATTATTCGTCTACTTCAGTTTCTCCTTATGAATCGATACCGGTTCACAGGAGATCAAGCATAGAAAATGACAGTCAGAGGATGATTCCGACGTTGAAGCCCATCCAGGAAGATCCGGTTGAGTCCACGTCTGTAATTCACCAACAAGACACCACTCAGGGTTCTTGTACGAACACTGACGGAGTCGGGAATGCAAGACATTTATCTACAAATGACCTGCTTGTGAAAACCCAACAAACAACAACAGACGTTGAAATCAGCGACTACGACAACTTGGAAATCCGCAAAATGACGGGGAGAGGAACACCCATGAACAACACAATTAGTGTCAGTAGTACACCAGCCGACCCATACAAGACAACAACAATACATAGAAATGAAGACCACAGGAAGCCAAGCAATCCCCGACCTCGACCGTACAGTATTCCCAACAACAAATCTCGCAAGATGGTGAGGATAGCAGTAGAAGATGCTGAGGTGATTAAGGGCTGCCCTCTCCTTCCTGAGCCGCGAGTTGGGAGAGCTGGCGGGAGCCGCTGGGTTCCCTCCATACCCCTTGCGGGTAAATTAAGCAGACAGCACCCTTACATACCACCCCTGGCTGGCATCAGAAGAGGCTTCAAGACTTCACCACCACCCTCCTTGAGGCGCTTGATCGAGCCTCTGGTAAGACGCTTTCAACTTATGTACTGCTTTCTGTCTCACGTTTTGTGCATGCATGTCAATGAGGGTTTAATGCCTATTCAAATTCTGAAGAGAGCATCAATGAGGTCGAAATATACAGTATTCAATCTTATTTTCTGATTATTGGCTCAGTGTGAATTCGTTTATGTCATCCAGTACACTGAATACCTGTGCTGAAACCAAGAAGCCTTTTACTTATCCACTTTTCCCTAGACAAGCATTTTACTAACGCTTAGCTGAGAAGGGACAACAGATATTGGGAGATTTGCTTTTTAATTTCACTATGCCCAAAATTCTAACCTGGGACCTTCCGGTTGTGTGCTGACTGCACTGAAGTTATTAGAAGTTTATCTTAATTATATAATGCTGGGCTTCACATTCTTGTTCTGCTACGGGCAATATTTCTAAGGTTAATTATTACTGAGAGCACATTAAAGAGAATGATTAGAATACCCATATGCAAGAACGATTCCACCTTTACTTTAAGCGTAGTGTGTTTGACAGCTTAGCATCATGGGCCTCCAAATGCACATATATCTGTGTTCACTTATAAATATTAGATAACGTGTAGCATACATAGATCTTGAATGATATAGCTGTATTTCTGAAGGGAGATAATCACATTTGAGTCTGTAGGAAAGAAACGGACACACCTATGTAAATGTTTGTACTTATCTCTGTATGGTTGTTGGAGAGATTCATAATAATGCAGGGCCTACTGTTAGTCTTCATAAATACATGACCCAACTCTCGTTACTCACAGATCCCGCAGGGAGATACCAGCAGCAGCCCACACCCGCCCACACCATCAGCTCAACTGACTTCAAGCACACCATCAGCTCAGCTGACTTCAAGCACACCATCAGGTCCATGGGCACTTCGCAGGCCCAGACGTGCCATCACCTCTCTCTTCAGCCTCTCTTCTTCCTCCTCGTCATCTTCCTCTTCCTCGTCCTCTTGTTTCAGAAGATGGGGAAAGAAGTCGAGAGAAGACACGCCATCACCATACACCGAATACAGGAGACATAGCAACTCCTTCAAAGGGTCGCCACAGAGGTCGTCCTTCGTGAGTATGATATCACGACCTCGCAGCGTACACTTGTCTGCAGGCCCCAAGCACGCATCACAATACTGTCCGGACAGCGACTGGTTCTCCTCCAACTGCTCCTCCCCGAGGTCGTCTTCATCGTCTTCTTCGTCGTGTATGCCACATTCCTCGTCTTCCTCGTCGCCTGTGTCGTCGTTCTACTCTTCGGAGAACTCTCTCTCCATCTCCGCCTCCCTATCTCCCTCATCGTCAGCTTCTTCTTTCCAGTTCACTTCATCGTCATCGTCCACAGTTTCGAGCTCTCCCTTCTCCTCCTTCCTCTCTCCCTCTCTGACGTCTCCCTCTTCGTCCTCCTTCCTGTCTCTTGCCTCTTGCTCCACCTCCCCAGATTCTGTATTTTCAGGACAAATCACCCCAACGTAAAGGGAAGTCAGAAGGTCTTGTTACCCCTTCTAGAAATATTATTTTTCGCACATGCAGTTTAAATCAGTCTGCTAACTCTTGAATGAACACTGGGCGATAAGGGTACAATTTTAGGTGTTTTTTTATGAGTTTTGCACTGGATTAAAGTTACAGATCAAGAGTTATACAGATGTTTTGCTCTAGGAAATCTCTAACAGAGCGAAGTGAATATGTACTGCTGGAGGCTCGGACTTCCGACTTCTGACAAAGGAGTGATTGTCTCGACCCGGCTATGACTGTCATAACTTAGTGGTGAGAGTCACGGTTTCCATCACAGGTCCAGTGAGCAAATATCCGTCAGGAAAAGAATAAATCTAACAGAGAAAAACGTTCTCCCAATAAAAGGGTGTTTTGCAAAAAGTGTCCCTTTCCTTTTACACTACAGAACGTGGCAATCCTCAGATAGTACACAGTCGAGTTACACAGTGAAACTGATGGTGTAACCTGTCACAACGCTCCTGGGTATGTTCACCTGACTTGGAGAGAGGATGGTTAGAAGAAATAACAGCTACAAATAGGGTAACATATGTTTGTCCTTCTAGCAAAGCAGGACTTTACTGCAAAACGTTTCGCTCCAATCATACTGACCCGTGAAACAGAGTCTTTGTAGAACAAGCTCTTCTTGGGACAACGTTTTATCACTGCTTTATCCAGTATTTATTATCTTCAATATCGTTAGACTGAATTAACAAGGTACAACTTTAAACAAAACATCGTTAAATAAAAGTATACATCCTATTATAACTGGTATATAAGTTGAAGAGTAAGATACAAGTGTAATACTTGGGTATCTTAACTGTTGAAACACTTCGCTTGTGCACCAGGCTTCTTCAGTTGGATACAGGCGATTAAAAACACTGGAGACAGCAGAAGTGAAGCGGGAATTGTGAGATCAGTCCCTCAGCATCTTTGTAATATCCTGAACCAACACCTAAGTCAAGAGTCCACACATTTCTACCGAGGTGACAAAATATTGCGTCCACTCTGTAGTGTGTTATGCTAATGAACTGTATCACTATCAGTCTCTACACCATCACCTTATAGTCTCCTACATCATCATTACAGTCTCCTACATCACCATCAGAGTCTCCTACATCATTACCATCACAGTCTCCTAAACCATCACCATCACAGTCTCCTACATCACCATACAGTCTCCTACATCACCATTACAGTCTCCTACACCATCATCATCAAGTCTCCTACATCATCACCATCACAGTCTCCTACATCATCACCATCACAATCTCCTACATCATTACCATCACAGTCTCCTACACCATCACCATCACAGTCTCCTAAACCATATTCACATCTCATCACATTAGTCTCCTACATCACCATTACAGTCTCCTAATCACCATTCACAGTCTCCTACACCATCACCATCACAGTCTCCTAAACCATCACCATCACAGTCTCCTACATCACCATTACAGTCTCCTACATCACCATTACAGTCTCCTACACCATCATCATCACAGTCTCCTACATCATCACCATCACAGTCTCCTACATCATTACCATCACAGTCTCCTACACCATCACCATCACAGTCTCCTCACATCACCATCACAGTCTCCTACACATCACCTCACAGTCTCCTACACCATCACCATCACAGTCTCCACACCATCACCATCACAGTCTCCTACATCTCATCATCATTACAGTCTCCTACATCATCACAGTCCCCTACCATCAATCACAGTCTCTACATCATCACCATCACAGTCTCCTCACCATCACCATCACAGTCTCCTACTTCACCATCACAGTCTCCTACATCCATCACCATCACAGTCTCCTACACCATCACCATCACAGTCCTACATCATCATCATCATTACAGTCTCCTACATCATCACAGTCTCCTACATCATCATCACAGTCTCCTACATCATCATCATCACAGACTCCTACATCATCATCATCACAGACTTCTACATCATCATCATTACAGTCTCCTACATCACCATCACAGTCTCCCACATCATCATTACAGTCTCCTACATCACCATCACAGTCTCCCACATCATCATCATCACAGATTCCCACATCACCATCACAGTCTCCCACATCATCATCATCACAGATTCCCACATCATCATCATCACAGTCTCCTACATCATCATCTTCATTACAGTTTCCTACATCACCATCACAGTCTCCCACATCATTATTACAGTCTCCTACATCACGATCACAGTCTCTCACATCATCATCATCACAGATTCCCACATCACCATCACAGTCTCCCACATAATCATCATCACAGTCTCCTACATCACCATCACAGTCTCCCACATCATCATCATCACAGATTCCCACATCACCATCACAGTCTCCCACATCATCATCATCACAGTCTCCTACATCACCATCACAGTCTCCCACATCATCACAGTCTCCCACATCACCATCACAGTCTCCCACATCATCATCATCACAGATTCCCACATCAACATCACAGTCTCCCACATCTATCATCACAGTCTCCCAAATCACCATCACAGTCTCCCACATCATCATCATCACAGTCTCCCACATCACCATCACAGTCTCCCACATCATTACAGTCTCCTACATCACCATCACAGTCTCCCACATCATCATCATCACAGTCTCCCACATCACCATCACAGTCTCCCACATCATCATCATCACAGATTCCCACATCACCATCACAGTCTCCCACATCATCATCATCACAGTCTCCCACATCACCATCACAGTCTCCCACATCATCATCATCATCACAGTCTCCCACATCACCATCACAGTCTCCCACATCATCATCATCACAGTCTCCCACATCATCATCACAGTCTCCCACATCATCATCATCACAGTCTCCCACATCACCATCACAGTCCTCCCACATCATCATCATCAGTCTCCCACATCACACATCACAGTCTCCCACATCATCATCATCATCACAGTCTCCCACATCACCATCACAGTCTCCACAATCATCATCTTATCACAGTCTCCCACATCACATCTCACAGTCTCCCACATCATCATCACAGATTCCCACATCACCATCACAGTCTCCCACATCATCATCATCACAGTCTCCCACATCATCATCATCATCACAGTCTCCCACATCACCATCACAGTCTCCCACATTATCATCATCATCACAGTCTCCCACATCACCATCAGTCTCCCACATCATCATCATCACAGTCTCCCACATCATCATCATCACAGTCTCCCACATCACCATCACAGTCTCCCACATCATCATCATTACAGTCTCCCACATCACCATCACAGTCTCCCACATCATCATCACAGATTCCCACATCACCATCACAGTCTCCCACATCATCATCATCACAGTCTCCCACATCACCATCACAGTCTCCCACATCATCATCATCACAGTCTCCCACATCACCATCACAGTCTCCCACATCATCACAGTCTCCTACAACCGGGTGTTTCACACTGTGCAATAACTACTTAAAACATTGTGGCTAGAATGTGAACTTCTAAATACACAATATTTTTTTATACTTCTGATGTTTTGTACAATAGCTTTTGTTTTGTTTAAGCAGCATGTCACGAGGCTCCTGGTAGCTTTTGTAAGACCCAGTAACATGGGTCGTAGGGCTACTGACACCTTTAGTAAGACTCACAACATGGGTTATGAGGATCCTGGTAGGTCCAATAACATGGGTCATAGGGCTCTTTAGCAGCTCATACAAGATCCACAACATGGGTTATGAACTTCCCGGTAGAGTTTCTTAGGCCCACCACACGGGTTATGAGGATCCTGGTAACTCTTACAAGACCCACATCATGGGTCACAACAATTTTGTAAACTGTGGAACTAAATATAAGTTTTTATATATAATGTACCTTGTTTATTTACATCACTTCGCAGTCATTATGAAGACTTTGTTACTTACCTACAAAGGCGGCCTTTATGTGGTTTGCTCAGAATTTTATCTTTTCTTCTTCCTCCAAATTCTCACTTTTTATTTCTGCTTCAATTTTTTCAATATTAGTGAGCAGTTATAGAGAAAATCTGGGAACAAAAGGTATATGAAGCTACGCAGCAGAGTTGAAGGACCCAGTCCCAGCATCCAGCAGCGGCTCTGATAATTTGCTAAAGCCTCAGGGCGGTACCTTTACAAATGAGTAAGGTAAAGGTGCTTCTAATCTGCCATTTAATGTTAAAAAAGTGATGCGAAATTTTCATTTCTGTTAAACATATTGATGTTTACATCTTCTGAATGGCTTCAGTATTAAATGGTTCCGTCATTTTATGGCCAGGATGGTAACTCTTACGTTTACTTTGTGTTCTCACTAATCTGTTGATGTACTAAATTTATTTTACATATAAAACTAGGAATTACTGGAATCCGTGTGATAACTGGAGAATGTTTCTTCTGACCGGCTTCAAACACTTAAGTTTTGCTGTATCTTAATGGGAAGCATTTTGGTATTGAATTTGGGTTTTGTAATTGCCAACGTATCAGTTTTATAGATATTTTTATCAGTTTGGACTTTAAGAAAAAAAAAAAATTTTTCTTAGATTGTAAAGAATTGTAAATATAACAGAACTAGCAGAGACTGAGAAATACACAAATAACCCGCACATAGGAGACTGACACAGGTTCACTCTAATAGGTGGGGGTTGTTTGTGTATTGTTCCAGTCAGGGTATTGTTACCTCTTAGTCTTAACCACTGAAAAATACTAAAAAATTTTGCGTTTTTTTAGTTTTTTTAATTTTTTTACAGTTTCATGAAGCTTTAAAAAAATTTTGTGAGATTCACCACTTTGGAGTTACAGTGTAGTAAACACCAGTCACTATTTTGTGGGTTACAGGGGGGTGGGTTTGACACCACCCCTTCCCGTGGGGTTACATTTGAAGGTGCACCAGATTTACTTATTTTGTGATTACAGTGGGGTACACCAGTCCACCACATGTGTTTTACAGGGGTAGGTGACACCAGATTTTTACATACGTTTTTTACAGTGTGGGTGACACCATCCCCACACTGTATTTTAACAGGTAGGGGCCCACCAGCCCACACTGTGTTTTACAGTGAAAGTGACACCGGGGTCACTTTTACTTTTGAGTTACAGTGTAGGTGACACCATTTCCCCACACGGGTATTTTACGGGTGTAGGTGAAAACCATCACCACACTGTGATTTTACAGTGTAGGTAACACCAAGTCACTATACTGGATTTCAGGTTTTTTACACCATGTCACTATACTGTGATTTTTTACAGTGTAGGTGACCCCAGTCACCACACTGTAGTTACAGTGAGGTGACACCTTTCACCACACTGTGAGTTACAGTGTGGGGGAAAAAAAACCCCCCCCCAAGAGTCACAATACGGATTACAGTGTATGACACCAGACCTAACGTGATTTACATGAAAGGTAACACCAAAACACTATACGTGAGTTACATTGGGGGTAAAAACCAAGTCACTACCCCGTGAGTTACAGTATAGGTAAAAACCAGAGTCACTCACTGTGATTTACAGTGTAGGTAACACCAGAGTCACTAAATTTTTAGTTACGTGAAAGGTAACACCAGAGTCACTACACTGTGGGGTTAAGTGTAGGTAACCCCAGAGCCCACAAAACTGGATTTTACAGTTTAGGTAAAAACCAAGTCACCACACTGGGGAGTTACAGTGTAGGTAACCCCAAGTCACTACACGTGAGTTACGGGAAAGGTGACACCAGAGTCACTACACTGTGTTTTTACAGTGAAGGGAAAACCAGAGTCACCACACTGTGATTTACAGTGTGGGAAACACCACACAACACTGATTAAGTGTAGGAAACACCAGAGTCCCCACATTTGTAATTACAGTGTAGGTAAACCAGCCCACTACCCCGTAAGTTACAGTTTTGTGACGCCAGAGTCACTACACTGTGGGTTACAGTGTGGGTGACACCAGAGTCACCACAGGGATTTACAGGGGTGGGGAACACCAAGTCACTACACTGTGAGTTCCCAGGGGTAGGGACCCCCC